TGACAAAAAATAATTTGTTTTTATTTTAGATTCAGATTTCATTACTGCACTCAAACTACTACAACTGGGCTTTGAGTTATTATACAATCCAAACTGTTTCAATCAGAAACTCTAAGACTCAGTGTGCAATGATTATTATTAATAATTAGCTCCTTGGTTTCTTGATAGAAAAAGGCTATCAACAAGCATTTGTTTAACCACAACAAAAAGTATAATTAGCTTATCCCACTTATTAAATCTTGTATGCATGCCAACTCATACCAAACTGCTACTTTTACAAAAAATTGCAATAATACAGTTCATTTTTCCAGTCCTTTTTGCACAAAATTTATTTACAATGTCTACATAAATGCTCCAAGATGGGACTATGGAAAAATACACACATGACTGATGCTTTGCTCAGAAATAAAGTCAACATATTAAAAATAAATCTTCAGTTCATGTTTTTGAGCTGCATAAAACAGGAAGTGATGTATAAGGTGGTGGTTGTTGCATGGGGACAATGATGCTCTGATGTGACAATGAGGCTTCAAAACACACTGCCTTTTGGTTTCCATGCCTCCTCCTACCAGTCTCCTTAAGACACTGCCTGGAACAGCTGATTAATCATTGTTGATGACTGCAGTTTTTCCCATCCTTCCCGATTTACATCTGTTCAGGCCAATTCAAATATGGTGAGTAAATGAATTAGACATGCAAATTCAAGCCCCAGGCTAGAGAGAGGGAGAGAGGGAGAGGGGGGAGAGAGAGAGAGAGAGAGAGAGAGAGAGAGAGAGAGAGAGAGAGAGAGAGAGAGAGAGAGAGAGAGAGAGAGAGCGAGCACACGAATGGCTGAAATCCTAGGCTGGAAGAAAGATTCTTCTGCCTGATATAGTTATTTTAATGCTCTAAAAATCCCGCAAATAAGACCTTTCTGTCATTTGCAGGATAACTGTAAGGCTTTTAATGTAAGGAGGCTTCTGGAGGAAGTGAAGAGCTATGGAAACAACACACATAGTGTGGAAAAATTTCACATTTTTTTTTAAAAAATCTATAAGAAACAACGTAATATGGATAACAGTATAATAGCATTTACAATATTTCACTCTTTGTTCTCTTAATGTCTTATATAGTTATTTAGCATGTCCCCAAAGTTGACTTCGGTTGGTGTTTCCTGCTTTTTTAAGGGTCCCTATGAAGAATTAGGGATGCTCCTTGGTCCACAGTAGATGCCAAGAATGGAACTCCACAGTCAATGCAGAAAAACGATATTTGAAATCTGTCACGGTTGCAGACAATGCATATTCCCTTAAGCTACTGAGCATGAATGTCCATGACTTGTCCACTCATTGTTGGGTCTCCTGTATTAAGCACTGTGGGGCTTGATGCTGACATTGGCATTCCAGGGTGGGATGGTCCTCCATGCATCATCACTGTTGGGTGGTGAGGGTGTCCAGGAATGTAGGTATGCATGGGGGGCCCATGACGCAGCTGAGCAGGATGTGGGGGCATCTGGGGTTGGGTATAACTTGGCTGTCCCATACTCACACCCATTGGACCACCCCGAGCTACATACTCCCCTGGCATACTTTGCAGCCCTGTAGAAATTTAAAACAAGAAAGAAACCAACAAAAAAAAAAAATCTTGTGAAAAATCAACTTTGGATTTGTGAATTCAACACCACAACAGCACCAAACATCAATAGAAAAAAAAATCATTTTAAAATAGTAAGGGTTTCCTTTTTAAGAAAAATGTCACAAGAAAAAAACAACATAAACTTTTGCTTTTACTACTTTTATATAATGTTGCTTCTATTATCATTACTAATAGCACAGTATCTTGTGATGTCAGGTTAACGTGATGAGTTTTTATTTACTTAGAAAACACTCTTATTTAACATCCAGTGAGAAGAGGCACTTTTAGCCATCCAAACATTCTATACGATGAATATATCACATTGTTCAATAAGCAATTCACATGGAACTGAAATGGATAGGATTATTAAGTGTAATTGTTACATTAAACTGTATTTTTAACACATAAAAATCAATGTTATCAATTAATTCCTTCTTTGTGATTACTTAGGCCTGAAGAAGAAAAAAAAACACTCAACACAAAATTCAGTCCACCCTGAAATGATTTTGAGAACAATAAGAAAAACTGGACCTAAAACAATAACCCTCTTGCTTTGTGGGGGCCTCTTGTCTTCTGCATGGATTGCTATAGTTGATGGAAACTGACAGGTGTATTGTTTCTGAGAGCTATACGTTCTATAATCATCAAGGGTGAAAGGCATAACGCTATTGCTAAGTAGGTTCAATTGGCTTTAGTTCTAAGTAATAGTGCATTGTGAATGCTATGAACACCTTTGAATCAGGTCTCTGGGCTCTAGCAATGACTGGCTGCTTAATCTAGCCTAAAGGAACATTTTTGAACTAATGAAAATTGCTTTTAAAATATACTGTACCCACAGCTCTTTAATCAAAAAAGATGATAATATTTTTTGTAATAACCTATTAATTTAATTGGTCACGAAGCATAAAATACATCATTTAAATTTAATTGACCCAGAAACTAAGAAACAATATTTAAATTAACTAAGCTAGAAATTTCCATGATGAGGTAATAAGACTGTTGCATTCCAGAGTTCAATGGAATGTTTTCACAGCTAATTGTTAAAACTTTTTTTTTGACTCATGCCCATAGAATACCAATATAAATTGCACTTGGCCTAACTAGTGATTTCAAATACTACATTAATATAATCAAAGACACAACCAAGGCTATGAAATAACTGCTTATAATTCCAGAAACAAAACAGAAAAAGCAACACTATTAGGGATAATTTAGGAATTGAACAAGAGCCTTGGTGTTCGAAACAGTTTTACTGCTCTGAACAAGAAATGCTATAATGCATTTTCTCTCCTCTAAAAAAGACAAGAGCATGAATCTGGGGCAGTTTTTCCTAGGCTTACTTCACTAGGCCTGCCACTGAAGATTGCATTAATGATCTCTATTTTTGTATACTGAATAAGTCAAATCCATTTGTCACACTGCAAGTGATGGCATACTTAATTTGGATATAGTCAATTAGCCCGGGCTAAGCTCCATAGCCTGCTGTGCACACCTCTATTTTGTATTCTCCCTTTTTTCCATTGCCACACGTAATCCCATTATGATGGACAGACAAAGAGGAATAAACTAAAAAAAAATGTTTTTTAAAAAGGAAAAGTTTGGTTGAATGAATTGCAAAATATGCCTTAACGACCCTAAGTGAAGCTTGTGTTTGTTTTACCCCAAAAGAAGTCTCTGTTTAGCTTTTCGGTATCTTGCAGGTTAGTGTAGAAATGTAACTCATGCATCAACTGTGGTTAGACAGATTTATGACACTTTGGGGACATGCTTTTTCCTCTCTTTGCACTGCTGCAGACTGCTTACATTTTGCAAATCAGTCTGTTGCTATGACAACTTGCTCCCCCCCACCTCCTCCTGACTGTTTCTTGTTTGGTCATGTGGTCAGTACTGTATAATAGCAACACACACGGTAAATGTACATCATACACAGTATCTATGAGCTTAAAAGCTTGATCAAAACCGAGGAGACAATGGAGGAAGCAAGAAACAAGGAGTTTAATGGAAAGGAAGGAACAAGCATAAAAAGCAATGGGCAAGGAGAAGATGAGAGAATGCAAGAAGAAAAATACACCTAGAACAAAGTGAGAACGAAGACCCCTCCCCCATTTGTACTTACTTCCCCCTTGCTTTTCGATTGGTTAACTAGATGAAGGTTACATGTAGTGCCACTGCCCCTCCATGCCCATATTCATGCCCATTCCACTCATAGGTCCTAGAAGGGAGATAAAAATCCAAGAAGAGGCCAGAAAATGAGCAAAGTCAACAGATAGTGCCAAAAGACCCTTTAAAAATACAGATTCCAGAGGGCAGAAAAAAAGGTTAAGATCTTCAGAGTGTAAAGATCCTCGATTCCTCTGCGTAATATCTTAGGTGCATAGAGGACAGGCAAGGCAAGGCAGGCAGCTTGAGATAACAGCAAGAGATGCAATGGTTTTACCTGTGCTGCTGAAGGGATAGCACTTACAAACCAGAGTAGCAACAATAACAGTAACACAATATGCATCTTACCTGGTGCTCTGATGCCCATGTGTTGCTGACCGTCCATTACGAAACCTCCCATTGGTTGTCCGTCTGGGTTATAAGGTGTTCCTTGACTTACTATAAAAATGTAGAACATAATTACTTACTACCAGTTTTCATTGAAAGGAAGAGAGAGAGAGAGAGAGAGAGAGAGAGAGAGAGAGAGACAGAGAGAGAGAGACAGAGAGAGAGAGAGAGAGAATATACCGAGTGGCATTTTTGCTTATTGTAAAAGCATAACTTCAAAACGGAATTAAAATAAAATTCTCCTTGCAATACTGTATCAGACTGCCAGGACTAAAGTGTCAAGGTTCTACTGACAGCAAGATTTAGAAATTTTCTGTTTGGATTTTAATCTGGTGATCATTTAATAGGTGTTGAAAGAAAAAAGAAATCCAAAATGTATGGACATGACTAGACATGTTTGGGCCCAAAGTGATACTTGACATAATTTCAGAGACTGCTCTATTGAGATGAGAGAGAGCATTTTAAAAGAAAGTGTACAACCAACACCAACTTCAGCAAATGGGCTCTTTGTTGGTCTTACTGCTTTCTCACAATACTAAAACAAATCCTAGAATGAAGGTGCTTCCTAGATGTTTAGCTCTAGAAGCCAAAATCCCATAGCAGTATCGGTATTTTAAGTTTCTAATACAAATAGCTTGAGAAAAACAAGAACAAAACAAAACAAAACAAAAATCATACACAGACACACCTTAAACCCCACAGGATGGATATGAATAAAGCTAGAGAACCCAGAACTTGGTATTTGTACCACTACCTGAATTCTACATTTTAACCGCACATTAAAAGCTGGCTTCAGAAGTAAACTGCCTTGGGTTATTAAAGCACATGAAGCTCTACCTCATTGAATGTCTTTGAACTTTACTGAGTCCCACAAGCGATCCTGACCCCTTTGCCCTTTTGACAGGTAATAAAGTTTACAGCAATTCCACACCAAGCCATGCACCAGGGAGTGGTCATAGTAGCAGAAAGAGCTGGGAAGGAAAACTCAAAAAAAAATAACATTAATATATCGAATGTGTACAAAGAATCCTGTAACTGAGCATATAATTTAATCGTTACTTTTCTCTATTTGCTTTTTTTTTCCTCCAAATATTTTAATGATGTTAAATTGATTAGTGTTGTTATGAAACGAGACTGGTTTAATTTTAATTGTCAATCACTCCCAGCACTCATTCCCAGTTTATTTACCAGGTAATGGACCTCCCGGTGAATGGCTTGAGGATGGCTTTCGCTTGCGTGACTTGAATACAGTTACTATGGGGGACTTGCCTGCTCGATTGGACTGGTCTATCATGGGCTGAACTATTCTTCTTCTAGCATTAATAAACCTGTAACAAAAGAGTAAAGTGAATCATTATTGCATGTTTTTGTCGCTTTGTTTCGTATTTAAAGGAGAAAGAAAGGAATTCAGCTATGGCCAAGGCTAGGATTTGGTTCCCTTGACTAGTCTATGTGCAGTTTCAAATGCTGCAAAACCTATAACCCCTGGTGACCTTTGAGCATACAGGCTTGGGGTTTCTGAGTTGATTTATGTTTGTCTGCTTTTACCACAGTTGGACACTTCCATTTCATCTTTTCATGGGGGAATTAGCAGAGTTTTCAGGAAACAATGCTAGCCACCACTCTTTTCAATTCAGAGGGGGAAAAATTGGTCTAGATAGGGAGATGTTCATAAGGGCATCTGTTACCTCTCCTAATTAGCGACATTTCTATCTTATGTTCTCTAGCCTCCTTTTACAATTTTTATCAAAACCTTCCCTACCTCTTGCAAACCTAATTCTATTTTAATGCCCACTATTAAGATAATGAACTGAGATGGCAGAACACCATCAAATGAGAGAATGTCTGGAGTTTTATCACCACTAACTCACACTGCTGGGGACTTCAGAGAAATACATTCCTTGAAGAGATTTCTTGGATTTTTTTTTTTGCTCTTTATGCAAAGTATGAGGTCAAGGCGAGGTCACAGCTATACAGTAATTGAACTTATAATCCTGCTTTCTCCCGCTAGTGCAGAAAATTTATAACAAACATCTTGTTAGAACATAATTATTGTACTAGCAGGAAAAAAATGGCTAGTTATTTCAAAATAAAAAGTGGTTAAAATTTGCTCACCAAGGTTATAACAGTGACATGTTAACTCTTAAGGTACTTTCAGTGTGCAAACTATAATAAAAATCAGAAATTGAATTCAAGGAATGAACAAGATACATTGGATTCTGAGATAGTAAATGCTCTCAATTCTCAACCTAAAAAATGAGCACCACATAAAAATACACAATGAAAAGTTTAATAATGCACTATTAATAATTAAAGCTGCTACCACAGTCCAGTATGAATCCCAATCTGTAACTCATATTCATAATCTGTCCACCTCACAAGGGGAAATGGTACCTAAATAGAGGGCCATTACACTGAATGAACATATGTTTCTTAAAGTAGAAATTCATACTCCATGACACTTATAGTTTCCAAGTATCCTGGATCTTTTATGTTCCTTTTTTTTCCTGAAAAGTAATTAAAATAAAAATGAGAATAAAATCTAACTAAAATGTAATGTTTTGGTGGGACAAACCAGTGGACCGGCAATACGCATTGTATCAATTCTTGTAAATATTGTCCCTAAACTGCTAATAAAATATTTAAAACATAGATCTATAACAAATTGTGTTGGAAATCAGTTTATCATTATCTTGTATAAACCATGAAAATTGGAATCATGTGAGCAGAAGGTTAGATTAATTCTCCATTCTCATTATAAGCACAGGTGTAGCACAAACACCATGTGAAATAACTAATTAAGATGGGGGGGGAAATCTGCTTTTTCATTAGCTATCTTAGGTGCATGACCAATTAGAAAATTATTTAATATTAATACTCAGAATACAGCAAGAGCAATTTTCATAGTCACTAACAAAAGTAATACAGTCAAGAAATAACCTCTCTGTGGCATTGTTGATAATATACAAGCTTCTAGAGGGCAGGAATCTTGTCTGCACAATTTACTTAATACATTATTTGGTCCACAATCATCCATAGCAAATGTGTAATAAATGTAATTTGTAGTGATGATTTATATACCACCTATCCTTACTATGTTTATAGCACTAGGTAGATTTTACTGATTGATCAATTGGTTTTCATCTAATTAATGCTAGAAATGTTCCTGCATGTTAGGTGGGAAACATTTATGAATATATCCATTTCACAGTAGTAGTCTAATGATTTATAATAAAAATATATATGATAAAGTTGATACTACCCATCAACAGGATAAATTACCTGAATTTTTTTCCAGTTTCTGCATTCACAATTTTTTTCCTTTTGCACCAACCGAATACAGGTGAAAATGGTTTGAACTAACAGGGACTAACCCAACCCCATCACCATCACCATGGTGGCCTTCTTTAGCTTTCTATCCAACTGATATAACCAGCCTCAAATCTCATATTCCCACTGTCTTCCCCATTAATGATGTTTGCATTCAATCTTCAATTAACCTAACTTCAATTTAATACAAGTTCTAAACTTATATGATGTACAGATATAAAATTCACTCTGCCATGTTTGAAATAGATACACATAGATACATGCACATTCTCACATGATCATTTTAGCAAAGAAAGCTATACTTTTGCAATAACTGTTTTTTAACTGAACATCTTAGTTTAGAAACCTTTCACTCAAAATCTCAAAATTCTTTCAAATGTCTTTAATATAATACAATATTGACAAACACAAATAATTACAATATCTAAACTTTCATGAATAAATCATTATTTGATCAATTGCCTGGTTTCTTTAAAAAAAATTAAACAAATAAATAGAGGAAACAGACAGATTTGTTTCAGATGTGAATTCATTAAATAAAACCACAGTATCCCTATATCCATTTCACAACCATCATAAGAATTACCCTCTTTAATGCACAGTTTCTTAAACATTCTCATAGGTACTATTTGCACTCAAGTACTGCTATAACACAGCCATGGGTTTAGAGGGCTTCAGGGTGAATTCATATACAAAAACATTTTCCTTCTGGGCAAAGTAATAAAATGACATTCTTGCTCCTCCCACTAGAAGTCAAACTGAGGTCAGCTCTCCGTCCCTGTATCTGTTTAAATAAACTGGTCCAGCTGTTTGTTTCCAAAATGCCCTTTAACCTTCTGTCTCATCCTCCCTGCCTTTGTAACAGAATGCTTTCCTTTGCATTGGGGTAGACTCTAAGCTACTACAGATTTTCTGAAAACTGAACAAGAAACTTCCTCAAAGTTTTTTACGAGCCTAATTAATGTTACTTTATAATCACCAACAAATTACTATGCCTCCTTCTTGTTCTTGGGGGAAGGGGGAAACTATATATCTATATATAGATATATGTATCTATATATATCTATATATAGATATATGTATCTATGTATATAGCTATATATAGATATATGTATATATGAAAAAAATCCTAATTAAAACTGCTCAAAAATGTTTATACATATTGGTAACCATATATATGAAGATATTTTGTCCTGTGAACCCAGTAGTAAACTCTGCTTATTGATGGAAGAAGACTGTGAAGTGAACCCCCACTATTGATTGTATAATAAAGTAATAAATAGTTGGAACAAAAGTGTCATTAATGAATTTATAACCACATATACATAAAAACTTTAGCCACTCTGATTCTGAATTTCCCATAGCACCTTTCTCTTGTTGAAGTTCTACATAAAGAAAAAATCCAAGAAAATTTATTTTATAGATTTTATAGTTGATGGTCATAATCTAATCTCAATTTACTCCAGTTCCTAAAACTCAGAACTAGTTAGTTTTGCTTAAAGAGGCTGTCATGTTTATAAAGTGGCTATGGACATGGTTTTTTCTTAAAGTTCACAGTGGATACTGACAGTGAGTAGCCAGAACCAAATCAAATGCTCTATAAAAGCAGGCTTCTTTGACAAACTGATTGCTTGTGAACCAACTATTCACATACTGAATAACTTGAATATGAAGATGGGCTTTCTGAAAAACAAAAATACCCCCAAAATTTATTTTCATTTAAAAAAATCTAACTCACTTTGTGAAATTGGGACAAATGATGTAAAAGAATTAAATTCTCTAAACAGGAGAAAATTCTGAAATAGGGAAGATTTTTGTTTGTTTCTCTCTATTTACGCTATCATGGTTCAGGTTCTCTGCCTATAATAAAATACAAAGCCAAACAAAATGCATAAAGAACAAACCAGTTTTTTTTTAAATTCATTCCATATCAAAGTAAGTTTAGATGTGATCCTCTTTATTTAGTTACCACTTAACATCAGAGAGTGTGTGTGTGTCTGTGTGTGTGTGTGTGTGTGTGTGTGCACGCGTGCGCATGTGTGTTTTCTCTGCTAGGCAGAGATACAAAATGCTTAAAAGACAGTGTATTTGGCTTAATGGACAGATTGCTTAATGGAGTCAGGAGGAATTGGGTTCAGATCTTACTTCCAACATGTTCCAGTTGGATGACTATGAATAAATCAGTTAATATCTCTGAGCCTCAGTTTTCTGATCTGTCAAATTGTGAATAATACCTTATTTTGTTATGGGGCTCAAATAACAGAATGTATGTGAAGTGTTCTTAGAGTACTATATGAGTGTCAGTTGTTATAAAGATGAAAAAATTCCACAGTCTCTGTTTTCTAGGAAATTGAAGGTTGTAAATCCAGTAAGATCTCAAAGATCTCAGATTTTATACCTTCTGAAGAAAAAAACATTTTAGATAGACAAGGAGAAGACATTGGTAAAATATACCTCTTAGTTGGTACATTAAAGGGAAAAGAATAGGACTTTAAGCAGCAGAAAATTTTAGGTAAGAGGTATAGTGGCCTCAGATCAATCAGCAGGCATTTAAAAATACTATGCATCAGGCAATATAATAGGCAATAAGGGCACAAGCACAAGAGATTTCTTTTGGTAGCTGCCCCCAAGGACCTTACAACCTAGCTGGGGAAGACAACACATATGTATATAACACACACATTCATGAATAACACACATGCATTCATATGTAACATACATGCATACATGTAGACATGATAAAAAGCAATAGGAAGGGATAGGCAGTAGCAGCTGTTGGAAACAGGAATTTAGAAGATGCTGCTTGAGCTAATTCTTGAAGTACTCTAAGGATTCTGAGAAGTAGAGAAGAGGCATGGGAAAAGGGACATAGAATATCATGGAAAAGAAACAACCAGAAGACCAGGCATAGTAGTGTATGTCTGAAATCCCTGCAACCTGGGAGGTTGAGGCTGGTGGATTGCTTAAGTTTGGAAGTTCCGAGCTTCAATGATATTAA